GAAACTCAATAAATTTTTATTGGATAGATAAATGAATACATGAATTTTAGACATCATTATGTATAGCACAATAGATACGCTCCCATATGTTCACAATATTCAAATTTTCCATTTAATATCTAACATAAGGGACAGGAAGTTTAGTATTTGTAGTGGTAGGCTTTTATTTACTAATAACTTTAAATAATATAACTCTTCCCATTTCACAGCATCACTCTTACAACCAACAACCTGTAAAGTAAGACAATATATGTTATTAATATATTAATTAATATTTAAATATCATTTTATAACCTGAAAATAACTCAGTGCTAACTTAGAAAGAATTTAATGTCCAGCAGAAGCAAACTTGAGTGACCAGCTTCACCTAATAGGAGTATTAACCAGTAAGTTGACACATCACCCTCTTCAGTCACTCTTTGAACCTAGAAGTTATTACTATTGCCCCTCTTCTTCATGCTAGTCGATGCTTGAAGTTTTGGAAGTATCGAGCAAGTTGTAACCAGAATCTGGGAATCACAGCCAGTGTGTTTGTAGACAGTAAAGCAAATCAAGGGTAATAATCCTTCAGTCTTTGTTTTTAAAAGATTTATTTATGCATGCAAGAACTGGGGTACAGGCCAGAGGTGTGGAGGGTGAGAGAATTCACCAGAGACAGAGTGGGAAGCAGAATAGGCAGATTCTGAAATACACTGATGAAATACACTGCTGAGGGAGCAGCGGGCGAGACAGGAGAGGTCTGCTGCGCGATGTGGGTAGCTCCCTGGCCAGTGATCGCACTCCTGCTGCAGTGGCTGTGGATTGTTTCACAGTGCTGCAAATCCTTGAGTCTTTATGTCAGCACTAGTGGCCTTCCACTGAAATCCACACACAGTGTTGGTGAATCTTACCAATGCCAACTTCTCTTTTATTCTGTAAGATTATTTATTTGATATTCTGAGAAAAAATGAAATCCCATTCGTTTGGTCCATCATTTCAACATTGCCGTTATTAATAAAGATTTGTTAGCAGCATGCTGTAGGTAAAATACAACATGGACAGAAATAAAAGCATCATAATCCATTGATGATTAGGACCCCTACCCTTTAGGCTTAAAAATCATCACTTTTCTATGGCAGCTGGCTTTTTAAGGTTGATAGTTATTTTTGACCTCTTTCCTTTGGATTAGTTTTCACTTACAAAGTAAGTGGTTTTCACTAGGTATATTTTTATTAGGAAAAATCCACAACACATAACCATAATGCCAATAAAGTTTTCTGGAAAGGTCTGATATAAAATGCAATGTAATGGAAGGAAAGTAGAAAAGTCTTATAGATGCATATGGATATAGACCTAAGGAGAGAGCCAGACCAGTAAGAATCGTATTAAAATATAGATTGGACAGTTAAGTGGAAGAAATAATCAGTGAAAACCAGTGCATTTTGCTCATAGCATCCATAAGAGTAAGAGTCAAACATTTGTCAATTTGTATTCAGTTATGCAAGAAAACACGCGCTGAGAAGTACACAGAGATTGAAGAAAACACTGATAAAGGAAAACAAAGCCACCAGACCAGGTTTGGGCAGGACAGGGAAGCTACTGGAATGATCAAACTACATCAACTTGAAAACTCTTATATATTTATTTGCACAGCAAAATTCTGCTCTTCTTTTGGCTACCAAAAACTTCTAAAGAATTGAAAATGTGGGCCTCCCCGGTGGCGCAGCGGTTGAGCGCTGGGTTGTGAAGCTCCCCGCGACCTCCACGGCGCTGGTTCAATCCCCGGGCTGCTCCCCGGCCACCGGAGGAGGGTCCCACATGGCGCGCAGACCTCTCCTGCCGCCCACTGCTCCCCTCAGCAGTGTGCTTCGGTCCTTCTGCCTGCTCTGCTCCCCGCTCTGGCTCTGGTGAATTCTCTCACCCTCCCGCGCTTCTGACTGTACCCAGTGCATGTATAAACAAACAAACAAACAAATAAATAAATAAAATACGTGCCTCTTTAAAAAAAAAAAAAAGAATTGAAAATGTTAGTGTAATTACAACATCTTTGTCTATTTGGATTTGAAAGCGTTCACTATTTTCTACATTTGTTCCTTGCCAGATTATCTTTGTTCTACTTCTCCCCACCCCACACCCACCATCACTGGCACTGTCATACCCTGACCTCTCAGAACACAGCTTTCTGTTGTTTTCCTCAGCTGTATTGGAATTTCTTATTCAGTCTTATTTCTTATTTTTAAAATCTGCCTTTACTTCTTTCTGCAATTCCCTGTATATGTCATGTCTGAGATAATGAAACCAGGTCAACCATCATACCAGGTCAAGTCCTATTCCAAACTCAACTCAGGAGAAATTAGAGGAGAATAATGAAATAAGGTAAAAGAGTAGAAGAAATGCTAATAAGGCTGACAGCTTTTTAAATAATTTATCCAAGTCGATTTAACAACCTTCTCTACTCATTTCTTGAGGGTCATTCAATGGAAGGAGACTTTGCTCTGGAACTGTTCTAGCTTGCCTCATGGATACCCTAGATTTGTGAGGTTGCAATCCTGTCTCCAATTCCTTTTTAGATGTCTGCTGGGTTAACCAGGAGTATAAGGGTAATGTAGAGATCTGACCACAGATTCAGACTGCCTGGGATCAACCCTGATCTGCCACTTGCTAGCTACATGAACTCATCAAGATTATGAGCTTCAGCATTCTAGCCGATTGAAAGGCATAACATGAGATAATGCTTGTAAAGTATTTAGTATGACTTACATTGAGTAGATCTGTGCTTACTCAATAATTAAGTGCCTGGCTTACACTGATAAATAGATACATGCTGATTATTACTAATTCTCACTTTTACTTTCCTTTGACTGGGTATATATTCAAAGCTAACCCTGTTACAACAGAGCAGTGTTCCTTAGACTGTTGAAGGAGATGGTGTTTTTGTTAATTCCATATCTTTTCAGGATGCTTCTGTAAAATGTAATCAAGTTGAATTGTTAGGACAAAAATTTTCAATGACCAAATAAAAGCCCAGGGTTTTATTTTATATTCAAAATGATATTAAATACTCAGTGAAATTACTTAGAAGCTTATAAATGTTTTTGCTCTGTTGCTGTCCTTGTTTCACTGCAGACAGGAAATCATTTGTAGACGGGCATGGGTGTATGGAGCGTACTGTAGGAAACACTATGATAGAGACTATGTAATAAATTTCATCATTTACCTTTTGATTGAGTTAACCTATTTCTAATATATTGAAGCATTCATTGTATTGTTATGATTAGTGAGTATGTATGTACATATTTGCTCTGCAAATGATTATTTTCATATGTTTATATGTCATTAATATATTAAAACTAATAATATATTCACTATGTAACATCATATACTATATGCATATATAAACTTCGTATAATGTGATACTTGTGCTAGAGCAAAGTACAGATAGCTCAAAGAATCTGAAAAATGAAAAATTCTTGAAGTGGAGGGTGAGGCAACACTCACTTGCAGAGGTCACTCATTTCTAATATGAAGCCACTGAGATTGTGTCAGACCAAGAAACTTTCTGCACAGACAGTACTGCTCGTGTCTGTGACATTATTCACTCTGATGGTCCGGAGAAATGTTAAAATCTCACGTAGATTTTCTGCAGTGTGTGTGATATGCATTCATCTGGTCCCTGTCAGGTGGAGCTTTCCACTTCCCTGTAGGCAGGGTTGTATGCAGTTAAAATACGAGCCCCCACATGCTGGAAAAGTATACAACTGATGCCAATGTGTGACAAAGCAACGAAAACACTTGATCTTAGAGCTCAATTTATACTCACAGCACCACCCACTACAACACCCTCAACCCCTCCCCACCCTTCCCAAAGGAATTTATGACAGTAATGAGTGTGTTTCTCTGGGGGGACAGTTGGCAACAGATGGCCACCAACCCAACTTGTGTTTTGTTCATTGTTTCCTTAATTGATCAATGGGTTTAAAAGGTATATGCAGGTTGAATGAAGAGGAGGATTCATTTGAAGACCCATATGTCTTCTTGGATTTTTTAAAACTCCTTTAGTATATACTTTTGCTTCTCCCCAAACAATAGTATTCTCAGCAATATCTCACAACTTCTGCTCTAAGATCATGTGCCATTCATCATTGTTTCCTTCTACATTTTGTTCATATGTAGTGAGAAGTAAAGAGCAGCAGTAGAATTTTCATTGAATGAGTAATTCGGCTGAAGTAGTAATTATCTCTGTCAGGTATCAATCGCATTAATGGTACCGTGTAACAAATAGCCCCTAGACTGGAAGGCATACAACACTGAGTGCACATGGCACCTGCATCTATGAGCAGGTGGAATTGGCGAGGTGGCTCTGGCTCTGCAGTTCTTGGCAGGGCTTGCTCACGTGTCTGGGAATAGGCCCTTGAGGTTGGTTCAACTGGCTACTGCTCCAGGTGTGTTTCATCTCCCGCTGGCCTGCCCAGGTACATGCATGGCAGTGAAAGGGGCAGAAAGAGGGAAAACCCAACTGCAAAGTTGCTGGTCAAGCGTCTCTTCATCTTAGCTCACAGTGGGAGGACAAGTGAATCACATGCTCAAGGTCATTGGTCCAGGGCACAGTGAAGTATTCAGGCCAATTTTGCATTTGACCATGAATCTAAGAAAGCAAATCTTTTATACTGAATAATATAATAAATGAGTAGGCGTACTTAGATATATTTATAAATGTACTTGGGCAAGTTACCTAACCTCACTGTGTTCAGTTTTTTTTTTTTCATTCCTAAAATGGAGGTGATAATGGCACCAATCCCATAGAATTATGTGAGGATTAAATTAATTGATTATGTAAAGTGCTTAGGAGGGTGCCCAGTGGGCACAATTTAGGTGTGAACTGTAGTCATTAACATGATGTGATGGTGACTGTGATGTCGCACACTCACCCTCCTCACCATGGAGCATGACAAATGTGTGAGGCTTGTGTATCACTGAATCAATAGTTCCTTTATTTTGAGGTTTTTTTTTTTTTTCCACTCAGATGTTTCTTTCTAAAGAATCAACCACTATAATTTCTGAAGTCCTGAAATGGTCAACAGACCATAGAAAGACATTTCTTTAGTCTCCTGCTTGAAACCAAGAGCTTCAGCAAACTGCAAACTGTAGGCCTTGTGAATCAATACTTTCGTATTTATTTTGTGATTTCTTTGCTAATATTTATAGCACTGATACCATCTGTTCATGTTATAAGCATTATTATTTTAGGAATTTATACATGTCTATATTCTAGAGAAAAAAGATTTGACATTATAAAACTAGTTGGAACATATTTCTACTTATAATCTGAAAAATTTCTTAAAGATGTGCTATAAATATTTCATATTTTTTACATTTCCATTTTCTTGCTTTAATAAATTATAAACTAATGTTGAGAAGTGGAAATAATGATGGTTCCTAAAATTTTGTGATCATTTGTTAATATGTTCTTTACGGTGATGGGAATATATGCCATTGCTCCCCAAGAGCTAAATATGCATCCAGATCACCTGGGGTGGTGTGAAAATGCAACTTATGATTCAGTAGGACTGTGATGGGGTCTGGGATTCTGTATTTTTAACAAGTTTCCTGATAATGAGGCTTCCCTTTGGTCTGAATAGCAAGGATACATATCCTTTTGTTCATTAAAAATTGTTATATACATTTTTATATATAATATACTAGAATATATAAAATGCATACTTATATCCAATGAACTAATTAAATTCTTTAATATTTAATCATTATAATAAACATTCTTGCTTCAGTTTCTAAAGCCATGTCAATAACATAAAAAGGAAATACATATTAAATACAACAAAATTAAATATGCTTAATGTATACTATAACCAATGTCTAAATATATAGGCATATATACATATAATTACTTATTTATATATACAAGTAACATCTTGAAATGTCAGATAGTATCTTTACTGATAAAATATGCCTTCATTTACAATTTTGTCTCCCTGGAAACTAAGTAGCAGTTTCAGGCCTATACATATAAGTACTGCAGAGACTACTTTATGGGTGGAAATATACTTAAAATCACAGAACACTGTAATCAAATAAAAGCTACCTCTTAAACACATATGTAAGTACACTTTAGTTTGAAGAACACACACAATTTGCTATTTTTTTTACCCTGTGAGCATTAGTCATAGTCTGACATTATAAATATTAAAACTATGTAGAATTTCAGATAAATAAAATTCATTAATCAACTGACTTGTCTGCTTGTCAGTGATAACGGCAAATTATTTTTTGTCTCAAAATTCATGACTGAAATCTTCTAAAAGGTCAGACTGTCTTCCTTTTATGTGCAGTCTTTGTTTTAAAGATCTGGGTAATGTCAGAACAGTATCATTAAAAGATATAATTAATTTATAAGTATAGAAAAGGCAGAAGAGTGGAGTGAAACTCTACTGACCTCACAATAAAAATTAGAGTTTCCTCCAAAAACGGAAGAAGGGAAAGAAAAAACTGAGAATGCAGGTTGACGAATTGCTGTGATTCCACCTACAGGTGTATCAATTAGCTTGAAGCCTGTTAAGGAAAATTTAATCACCGCTACCCATCCATGATAGCAACTAACATTTGATTGCACTTTCAATTCAACTTCTAGTTTATAAATGTAGCCACAGATTGCAATTTATAGTTCAATTTATTATTAGATTTCCCAAGTAAGAACTTGGAATCTGATTTCAGTTTCAGTCTGGGGAGAAATATTCATAAGAAACCCAGGGCCAGGGCCTCTCTGGTGGCTCAGCGGGTTGAGCGCATCGCTGTGAAGCTGTCCGCAGCCTCTGCAGCGTGGGCTCAATTCCTGGCCGGCCAGGGAGATACCCACATGGCACAGCAGGCCTCTCCTGTCTCGCCCACTATTCCCCTCTGCATTTCGGTCATTCTGACTATTCTGCTCCCCGCTCTGTCTCTGGTGAATTCTCTCATCCTCCCGCGCCTCTGGCCTGTATGCCAGTTCTTGTGTAAATAAATAAATCTTTAAAAAAAGAAAAAAAGATGCCCAGTGTCAGAATCATTGGGTTGTTGATGGGAAGGGGCTGAGTGTTTTGCTGACTCTAGAATGTTGAGGTTAATAGACTATTAATGCCCATTATGTATTATGTGATTATTTTGGGCTATTTGCTCATCTCTCCATTCTCACTTTTTAATCTGTTTTGGGATTGACTTGTATTCTAACAATGACATTCTGATTCTAAAATGCTATAAATGTGTATAGAATGCCTGTTTTTCCTTGGAAAAGGTGGTGATGATGACGGTGCTGGTGCTAAGGGAATTTGTAGATATTGGCGGGACAGGGAAGGCAGGGAGATTTCCCTTTATCTCTTGGTTTTGCAAGCTGATTAAGCAATCAAATTAAAATCAAACAGATTAAGTGTAGAAGAAAAGGACAAATTTAATTACATACGTATAGAGAATCTGCATGGATATAATTTCTAAAATAAATGGGCAACATCAGAGCAGATATCCTGAGCTGAGAAACAGACTCCAGGGTCGAGGCTTCAAGGAGAGGACTCGCACGAGGAGAGAGGATGAATCGCGTGATGAAGACCAGATGTGCTATAATTACATGTTAGTCCTGCACCTGAGGGCCTTGACTGACCTTAGCCCAAACCATTCCACCTGCCAAAATGATCGGCCTGTTCTGAATATCTTGGGGACCCTATTTTCAATATTAAGAGACATAGTTTTCATGTTGTCATATATAACACCAAAGATGATGCAGGAGCTAAATAGAATTTGTGGGACACCACTGCACATTCCTCTTGGGGGCCCGGCTCATAACACACCAATAAGACTTCTCCAGGGATAAAACTGATGCTGATGACAACTGTAACGTTTGTTTTCTGAAAATAAATTCAATCCAAGTTTAATTTAGGAATACTTATCTCCTGAGGGATTTGAAGCTAGAGTAACAAATCCTCCACCCACACACCCATTTCCCAAGGTTGCAAAGCATCTGACTTTACCTTAGATTGGGGTTGGTAAAATTTTTCAGCAAAGGAGCCATCAGTCTCAAATTCTCAGTCTGTCTCAAAAAGTCTCCTCTGAACTTGGTAGCATGAATTTTTACCAAGCAGGCAGCAGCTGTGCATGGTCCCTGGGCTGGGTTGCAGCTTGCATTTGCTGAGTTAGAGTCTCAAGGCCACTTTTAGTTCCAAGGTTACAGCTATTGCCAGAGAAGTACCAGATAAATATTATATGTGGATAAATGTTACAAGTCTTTGTCAGACAAAGACAAACTTTAAACCTTGAAAACTGACCATGGATCTTTGGCTTGTAGGAAGAGGGATGAAAAAAGGAACTTTGGTGGGTGGGGTCTAACAGCTGCTTTGGTGATGGGAGAGCTGAAGTGACTACACCTGAGGGGGCACCCTATACTGTCAAAACACCGGCAAGGTAGTAAAATTATGGGACTCCAAAAACAACAAATGAAGAAAACAACAGCAAAACAGAGTACCTGGATTTATGGCTAATTAGTACATTATGAACCATGGACCTTGGTCCTTCTCTGCCCTCCACCCTGTCCTTTTAGCCTGAACTCAGGAGCCTGGCTTTGTGGATGCAAATGGCCCAGCGGGGTATTTTCCTAAACAAAGACATTTTTCTCAGAACAGGAATTCTGCTGCCTCTGTTAAGATAATAAGGATGCCACAGATGGTGCTTTCATTTCCAAAACAACCACAACATAAAAGGAGATGTGGAATTTTTGTGGTTTAATTGTTGTGTTTTTCTATTCTATGATTCTGTGATTTAGTTTGGCAATGATACAAATTAATATTTAAGCTTCTGCTGAACTCAACTTGATTTTACTGCTGTGGTGCTGAAGCTTCTAAATATAGGAAGGCAAGATGACAAGGAGAAACATCAAACTCCTTACTATTTAATTTTGGCAATTTCGAAGAGTATATATTGGAGTTTAAATTTCATGAAGCATTCTCAGATTAGCACGCCCCATGCAGTGTCACCGGTACAAGCATTGGGTTAGCAAATGTAAGTTAGGGCCTCCTGGATGAGCATCTGGAACGCCTTCCTTCAGTGCTTCTCCTGCCACTCCTGGGGGTGGTGCCAGGGTTGGGGGCGGGGCTCAAATCAAGGCTCCATCTCAGGCCTTTGTCCACACTTTATTGAAGAAAAAAAATCCAATCTCCCAAGAGTCCGTTGTCATCTTAAAGACAATTTTTTTTTTTTCCCCTAGGAACCTGGATTTCTTACTTTGTTAAATTAGAGGTAAAGTTGTGAGCTCGTATTTTGACCTAAGAACCGTGTGAGGAACAGCCTCTTCTACTGCTTTCTAGGCCTTCAACACCGAGGAGGCTGAACAGGCAGCAGGGCAACACCAGCCCTCTTCCCTAGCGTATCTGCCTGGTCGCCCTGGGCTCACATCCTGCTGAGGGCGCCGTCATCAACCATAATTATTTCAAGTCCCACCAGTGGAGCTCTTCAATCCAGCATCCCCACAAAAGCTTACTGTAGGACTGGAACACAAAACTCTGACTGTATTAATTGTACGACGATTACCATCAAGAGCACTTTTGTTTATGTGTATTGGATTGTTGGTTTGGTCATTTGGGCGATATCATTTTTTTACCTTGCAAGGGAATACTTTTTAGGAGTCAGTGCCTAGAAAAAGAAAAAATTTCCTTTCTTCAATAATTCTTATAACATGTAGCCTTTCTCTTTTTTCTTAGTTTCCAAGAAGTTCAAAATTCAATGTAATACTATGTTATAATTCTGGGTGTGTTTCTCCCCTTAGTGTGTGCATTGTTGATTACGTTATTAGTATAAATTACCAAAAAGGACATACCTACATATATATGTATATACATATACACATATATACATATATTACAGTGTTCAAGTCTCTTTTACAAGAGACTAGACTAAGTTCTCAAAATCCTCTACATTGACAAAATGTTTTTATTTATTAAATCCTAATCAAGCTGTAACTCTACATGCTTACCTCTTGCTTATAAGAAGCCTGACCTGTTAATCAGAGTGTCCTGGACCCTTCATCACGTTTCTGCAATCTACGCTCCTGTCCACATCATCCCCCACTTCCGCCCTGACAAATCTGTCTCAGCGACAGGCTAGTCACAGTTCTCCAAACTACCCTGCCATGTCCCACTGCTTGTGTCCTGCATAACACCATCATTCCGCCTGTAATCAAGTTTGTACAGGAAGTCGGTAACTTCCCCGCAGAGTACCCAGGGACCACAAACTATTAAGGGGAGAACCCCTTTTGGTACATGCTAAAAGGGTTTGGTCATCCACACACGAAAGAAAGGAGGGAGAGAGAAGGAGAAGGATTTCAAATACCAGATCCCAAGCAAACAGAAATGTACGCAGCCCCTCACAGGCAAGTGTCCAAGCAAACAGGCTCACCCCAAAGAGGGGCAACTGAAGCCCAAGAGCTCACAGGTCTCAGGCACTTTCTGGAGGGGAACCACAAGACAGGGAGTAAGCCGGTCCCAAGGAGCCGCACGGAGAGGAGAGACCCAGATTTCAGCATCTAGCACATAATGCACCCCAGGGGCAAGGTGCTGGCAGTCATCGTCTCCCCCAAGGACAAGGATCTTGAGTCCCTCCCCCACCGCTCTCTTCTCCAAGTCTCATCTCCACGCATCCGCCTCCTCCTTTCTTCCACTTATAGACCCACCCTGCGTCTTCCCATCTACACGTAAGAGGGAGGCAAGGAAAATGGTGCCCATTCACCGCCCGCCCCAGCCCGCCTTCCTTCACGGAGATGCATTCTGTAGCAAGGCTGTCACCGGAATACTAAATTATCCTGTCTTTTTTAACCACCAGATTTTAATGAAATTCTTCCAGTGAATGCCTCACCTGATGTGGAGCCCAGGACTGATATAAAATTCTTTCTGTTTAGTTTATGGTGAATGTATGTTGCTATTTTAATGTGTCCTTGTTGGTTATACTCTGGCTGAATTGTATTCTGTTCAATTGAAACTATTTTGAATTTAACTTATTTAATTTATTTTCTTATTTACTTTATTAATTTATTTTAATTTATTTAATTTATTTTCCTATTGGAAAGCATTCAGGCTGATGCTTAGGTAGACAGATAGGTGGATGGATGGATGCATGCATGCATATATGATAGATGGATAGAAGGATGGAGGGATGGATAGATACAGAATGTCAATAGTAGCAGGTGCTTCTGTATTCACCGTGTAATGACAAAGTATATGGACAGGTCGTATGTGCAGGATGACTGACTGTGCCACTCCATAGCCTGCTCACTCACCATGGTGGGTGAGTGTCTGGAGAAGTGCTTGCAAGCACAGTTCTGCTCCTGCCCCTTCCTCTAACTTTTTCTCCGTTTCTCTCCACAGGAACTTTTTACCCCTGAATGCAAGTTTAAAGAATCTGTTTTTGAAAACTATTATGTAATCTACTCATCAATGCTGTACAGACAACAGGAATCTGGTAGAGCCTGGTTTTTGGGATTGAATAAGGAAGGGCAAGTTATGAAAGGAAACAGAGTAAAGAAAACCAAACCAGCAGCTCATTTTCTACCCAAGCCATTGGAAGGTGAGTGTGGTGTGTGCATTCTCCCTCTGGCAGTTATTACACATCTCCTTTCCCACACCAATGACTCCACCCTGGCGATGAGGATCCCTCACAGGACACTGAAGGAGCTTTCTCTGGATCTGGGTGGTGATCACCAGGGTATCTACATAAGTTGTGATGTGAAGATCTGTGTCTTTCCTACACTTAATGCAAATATATACATGTGTGTATATCCTGTGCACATATGTGTACACGTCACTGGCATACATTCAGGCATAGAATAGACTCAGCTATATTCCATTAAATTTTTAAAGTGCCAGGAAGTCTCCCTCTCTGCTCATTTTTTATATCTCAGATCCTCACTGCCCCAACCTCATTAACCCCAAAGAGTTTCATTTAATTTTAAAAACATTATTTTATTTTTAAAAATCTATGCTGGTGTTATAAATCTGTAACAGTAGGGATAGTAGGAAAACTAAGTCTTGAGTATTTTGCAATAAAGGCATTTGTCCATTTTGATGTTATGTTGGTGAAAACAATCACGTGATGGTGAATTATATTTACAAGAAATGAAGAATTATTCTTTTGGCCCAAAAGAACTTGTTGATGTTGCATCTCTCCCTTTTCCAATTGCCTAAGTGAGTAGCAAATTCAGTAGTGGCAGTGACTTCCTTTACTAAGATAATGAATTCATCTGCATTCACCTGTGAACAATGAAATCTTCGCATTTGCTTTGATCAGATTCCCAGAGAGCAGGCTACAAAGTTTTGTTAATGAATCAGAAACATCTTCACCTTTTCCCTTAAGGATTCTTACTTTTATCTATGTAACATTTGTTTGGGAACTAGAAAAAAAATTAACAGTGAGGCTTTTCAAAAATGCTTTCTATTCAACTGTTTTTGTTTCTCTTGCAGAGAATTGTAATAACTAGTGAATAGCTTATGCTAGTTAGACAGTTTGATTCTCTTTTTATTTCTCATTCATACAGGTAAGACATAGCCATCCAGAGAAAATGCATATTGGTTTTATAGTTCATATTCTTTAAATGGGATCAAAGTAATTTGAAATATTGAAAGTTAATTCTTAATTCTCTCCAAATTTATAATTCAGCTTTCAGTTTGCTTAAACCACTCTTCTTGGTGAATACCATCTTTATGATTTCAATGATGCTGAGTTACTATCACCTATAATTAAATCTGCTTCTAGAACAAGTCATTTCCCCCAAACAATTAGCCACCAGGGCCTGTCTAGGAAAGGGAAAATTTTGCCAGAGTCTGAAATATGAATGAATTATTCTAATTATACAGTAGATCATAAGGAGAATTGGAGTTTAAAAAAAAAAAAGAAATTAGAGGGTTTCTCTATTCTTCCAAAATAATGCATCCATAATTTTGCTTTATTGTTTTAAGTGGATTCTGAGATCATCAGATTCAGCAAAATTTAGGTACAAGTGAAACATATTAACTCAGTGCATAGCAGCTACAAAAATTGTAGTTTATTTGTCCCCTGGCTTTATCTCTTTTCATTAGATTTTGTTTTGAATATGGACAGATAGGAACTAGATTTCTAAAACCTTATAATGCAATTAAAACTAAAAGGGCCTTTATGTCTCTTAACTGAGGAAACATCTGGAAACCAGCTCTTTTGGCTATCCAGCAGGAAACACGGGAGGCTCTAGAGATGTGGTACATTGTGTGCTTGTCACGTCAGTCATATACCTCCCTGATGTGTGTGCGTGCGAGCTGGGCATGTGTGTCTGTATGAGGAAGAGAGAAACAGTATTTTCAAAGAATTAATAGGCCAAAATGCTCTAAAAACAATTCAGATAATGATAAAGGTTATTACATAGAGGAAAACACATTTCAAACTCTCAAAACCCGTATGGGATGTGATTATAGCATTGGAATATTAGGCCAGATGAGGCACCTGATTGATTACTGATGCCCAGGGCTGCTCATCTCTCTTACACAACTTCACAAATAATCAAAGCGATCACTTGGATGTAGTTGTTGCCTGCTGTCCCTAGCACTGGGCATGACAGACCTGGGTGGATCCTGTTCTTACCTGCCTAGTCCAGGCCCAAGGTGCACATGCACTTTCAAATGCATGTGCCGCTAAAAAATCCCATGAGGCATTGAGGCAAAAGGTAGCATCCTGAGGGCCTGAAGATGGCGGAAGCACCTGGCAGTCCATCCTAACCCACTTCACGTTCTCTTCATAGAGTCCCAGAAACTTCCAAAAGCCTAGAAAGCAGGTGGGGCAGCTTGAATTCACTCTTGTTTCTGATGGCAGATGATCTGACTCACTAATTTCCCCAACATTGGTCACTCCTGAATGTCCTTTCCCAGATTTCCTGGAATCATTGTCTAAAAAGCCACAGGTGATGGCTTCTGTCCCTAGATGTCACTCAGGCAGTTCCTGGGGACTCACGTCACTTCACTTCCAGTGTGTGCTACTGCCTTTCATGGCATCAATTATTCAATTTTTTATGATATTTCAGAAAATGAGAGCTACGCTGTCCCACAGTTGCCTCCAGCTGTCTCCCAGGCGCTCCCTGGGATGGCGGGCGAGCTCTAGATGCTGACCCAGAAGCCTTGGCTTAGGGAAGGAGTATTCTTAGCTGTCGCTTCTAGAGCTTCTTTGAGGGAACTCTGCTGCGTTTGAACCACCTGAGAGACAAATAACTTAATGACTCAGGTGTAAACAGTAAATACTTGGAGTTGGAAAATGAGTGGGAATGAATGGGTGGCCCTGGATTGTGTGGCTGTGTGGAGGCCTGAGGTGAGAGCCTCGCCTCCCCTCCCCCCCCCCATGCTTGCAGTGAGCTTGTGCGGGGCCATGATTCCCTTTAAGGGCAGGACGGGGCACAGAGCAGGTTTTCTGATCCAGCAGACCGGGTAAAGGAGGAGTCAGAGTCCTCAGTGGTTTTTTGCAGGTCTTTTACTGGGGTTCATCAGGCATATGGCTGGCAGGCAGGCCTCCCAGCCCCCAGCAAATCCGCACTCTCTCTGGCCTTCTCTGCTTCTGCTTCTTTGCTTCTCTCATCGGCTTCTTACTCAGCTTCTGACGTCCCGTGACGCCACCCTTAAAAGCAGTCTCAGCCCAGGTGAATCCCACCTACCTGTGCCCACACCCCACTCCAGGTGCCGCCATCAGGCATGCACTCAGGACCGCAAGGATCCATCATCTCTCCTGATGGCGGGAGGGCAGAAAAGCCTGACATTTTCTTTACCCTACACTCCTATTTCGGCTTCTCTCCCAGACACAAGCACGCTCCCCGCGGGGCCCACACTCTCCAGGGACTGTGAGGAAGGGACGCCTCCTGTCTGGGGCCCAGGCCATGAGCGCCTCCCTGCAGGCCCTCCTCAGGCAGGGCGTTTGCGATGGCCAGAACGGGCCGGGCCCAGGGCCAGGCCTAGTTGGGTGTGGACACCCCTCCCGAGCCAGCCGGGTAACCTGTCCTTTCTGCTCTTCCTCCTCGGTGCCCTCCCTCCTGTCACTAGTCGCCATGTACCGAGAGCCGTCTCTGCACGACGTCGGGGAAACGGTCCCGAAGGCCGGGGTGACGCCGAGTAAAAGCACAAGCGCGTCAGCCATAATGAACGGCGGCAAACCAGTCAACAAGAGCAAGACCACATAGCCCGGCGCGCGCCGTGGAGACGGGCTCGGCCCGGGCCCGGCGAGGGACCCTCCAGGCCGGACATTCCCAGGCCCGGGGCCGAGCCACGCGGGGGGCAAGCCCAGGCCGGCGCCCTGCGGTCTCGAACTTGTCGCTGCCAGTGGATGCCCCCGCCCGTTGCGTCCCCACAGCAAGAAGACACCTGGAGAACCAGCTCAACTCAGACCATGGAATGCCCTGCCAGATATGGAATGCCTTTTTACTCTCTTTTCTGTGACCGTGACACTTGCTGTGAATGACACACTTCACAAGTACACTCGATTCCTTGCCTGCTGACAGCTCCCCATAATCCTTTTTGAGTCCTGTTTCAGCGACATCCATGTGTTTCAGTTCGGTTTTGTAGCACACCAATACTCCTGAGTAATTTCTAGTTAGCCGCTGTACACCTGTGCTATTCTGGATTTCCCCTCCTCCCGTCCCCACAGGGCTGCTGGCCTACTGTGCGCGCCTCCAGGAGGGTGTGCTCCGGCGCTGGCAGTGGGATTAGCTCCCCGGGCCAGCGATGAGGAGACTAGGAGGGTTGTCTGCGGCCCCCATAGCGACCAACCCCACCTATGCCCTCTACCCAGCACCAGGGCCCTGGGCAGCCGAGGTTGGTGTGGCGGGGTGAGCTAAAGGGGTGTGGGAAGTTCTCCACGCGGGTGTTTGACATCCAGCCCCCTATAGTTTCTTCGTGTGTGTGTGTGTGTTTTATACATATCACAAGCTTACTGGTAATGGTAACATTTGCCTTGCCCAGCGAGCAAGACCCACTGGTTTTTAAGAAAGTGGGTCCAAAGAACTCTGTAGGCCTTGTGGGCCTGATTAAGGTTCATTTTTCATCTACTAATCCTCATTATTTGGAAAAAAGACAAAAAAAGAAAAATCAGTCATGACAACCTAGGAGAATTGCGCTACCTAAATCCATTTCAGATATAATCCTTCCTGTTTTTAAGGAACCGAGTTTAACGCCCTCCCCGGTTTTGGCTGCGTTCCAACTCATCCCCAGCGGAGCATGGGCAAGGCGGCTGTTGTGTTCTTTTTTCTGCAGCAGCAATGCAAACGTTAGTTATAAATTAGACTTTAATATTTTTGGTGTTCAATGACAAGTTTTTAAACTGGACATACTAGGAAAAAATATTTTTTTTAGCTCAGCATGCTGAGTCGGGTACTGTGTATTCACCAGTCCATGCCCCTGGCCCAGCCCCTGGCAGCCGAGTGTGGTGGCCCAGAGGCCGGGTGAGAGGTGCCTTGCCGCGATCTCGGAATGCAGGCTGGGGGGCGGTTCTAGGTCCAACTACAGGCAAACCCACACATTCGACCATCAGGTTTTCGACCCGTTCGGTTTATCTGATTTTTGTTTTCTTTGTTTTTCTTCGGAACTGAATACGGCTGAACTCTGAGCTTAGGGAAGATGGCGCTTGAGAAGGGCCAAGAATTGTTGACGATCCGCAGAGAAGAAGCCACGGCAGGTGTTCAGGGTTGGGTAGAAGGGGTTTCAAAATGTTTAGTACTAAGCTGTTTGGAAATATATTTGTTGACTGTGTGTGTACTTAATAAAACTCAATGTTTTCTTCTCAAAAGAGTTCACTGAGACCAAATCTAACCTCATTTGCAGAAAACTTGATGTGGGATCAGTACACTGGCCTCTTGTAACTCTGTCCATGGGGAAGGATGACCCAGTCGCCATTTTCTCCCACCTGCACTGTATTTACTGGGAAATTATTTTGTCACTGCTTTCCTAAGTCGACATGACAGCCCCCGCCCAGCATTCAAAAATGTTGGCCTGCTTAGCTGATTAAAGATTTAGTATAAATTTAACTGTTAATGCTTCTTTCATTTTCATATTGGATTCCATTTTAATAAATAAAAAGTTAGCATAACGTTTGAGTACATTTATTGTTGATGATGCTAAAGAACAAATACAACAAAATGATTCTTTTGACCACTCGTGACTTCTTGTTACGTCCTTTAAAAATCTGTCGTTCTTAACAAAATAAGTTAAAATACACTAGATGAATCTCATTACCCGATGAGTAGGGTTTATTGATGGAATATTGTATTTGATCATATATGACTATGAATAATATAACTTGAAATTCCAATTAGATGGGCATATGGACACTGTTTACCCCACCACACACACACGCACACACACACACACACATCAAACAACCCCACCTCTTTGTTCACGTAATCAGCTCTACTGGCTAATTTCTTTTTCCCCTGCTAGCTTGTTAACTGGTTAAAATTAAGACAGGATTTATTTTTGTAAATGACTGAGATTTCTGTAAATGTGAACTTCTTGTTTTGTTTTCCTTTTTTTTTTTTTTTAATGAGTTGTCTATAAGGGTATTTATCCCTGTGAATGGATGTTGACATACTTTCTGCTACTCCATGTTTAGACGTATTGCAGAGGGGTCCTTGTTATTTGTGATTTAGTTAGATCATTTATACTTTGTGTCTGGTCTCACCATTGCATGGGATGAGGACAGGTCTGATGAACTGCATGCAGTGGGACCTGTGTGTTAAGAACTGTCGGTATGTATTACTCGATTTACATACAGAGTTTGTCTGCATTGTACAGTTTCTATGTTCAATATAATTTGTTGTATTCACAAATACAACATATTGAATAAAATGTTTATATGAAGGCATATTAAAAAACATCGAACATCTTTATGTAACGAAATGGCATTGCATCACCATACAGAGAGAAGTGTCATGTGAGCGAGTCAGTAAATTCACTTGCCCCCTCTATCATGCCAAAGAAAATTTTAGCTCTTTGATGATACCTCTCTTGCAATTTTTCGGGGATAAGACGCCACCATTTTTCCCCTCAGAAATTAAGTTTGCTGTTATTAAAGTAAGTACAATCCATCACTCTCGATGTTCTGTGTAGTAAATCTGATGGAATTCATTTGTATTTACAGCCTGTGTGTTCTGTATCTCCATGTGCATATGTCAGTTGTATCAAGCCTCTCTAATACCACATTCCTTTTGCATGCATTTCTGGTGTGGGAGGGTTATTTCTACTGATTTGTTATGGTAGTTGATTGCTTTGCCTGTCCCTCAACAATGCTCCGGAATGTTAATTGTTTTGATATTTCAAGTAACTGCTTTTGTTTTTGTATCCGTTTGTTTTCTAAAATGATTTGCTACAACTTTACTTGGTAAATTATAGAAGAGATGCATATGGTCTGCCCTATGTAAAGAGTAAAATGGAATTAAGCATTCTTTCATTACAAGCCCTAGAGAATGTAGATTCTCACTCGAAATATTCACTTGCCCCGAGTATTTGTGGGAGTGACTTCAGGAGCTTTACAATGTGCCCAGAAGACTCATGCCCTGGTCCTTCCAATTATTTGCTTCCTGCCGAGTCAGCCAAATGTCTTTATCATACCTAGCTAGTTGCTTAATTAATGCCTAGAGCACTAAAACAGTCATTTTTTTTTTCCTTCAGGATGACCAATATCAGATTTGGCTCTCATTTAAGAAAAAAACAAAACAATAAGAAAAAAGTGTTTCTTTAATTTAGACATGTATCTTTTCATTTAGTTTTTTCCCTAATATTACAGAGATAATTAACATTTGAAAGAGAGACCAGAGTAGGAATGTGATTGACTAGGAAATCCATCTTAAAAGGTAGAAATTATTTTCAAATTTATTTCAGAACAAGACTCTATCCAGAGAAAGCATTTGAGCTAAAGGCAGGCGTGTCAAAATTCAGAAGTAATTATATTACTGTGGACAAAATACCTTTCAGATTTTGAGTTTCTTAGCTTAGAAAGGGGTGCCCAGGGCCTACTGGTCCTCTTGAATAGTAATTAAGGCTTCAAAGTTTGACAGTGAGTCTGCAAACAAAGGCTGTTATTTTTTTGGTTTTGTTTTTTTCATGGTTTTCTATGTGGGTCACTCTCCTCCCAACATTGCTGGCTGGGATTGTGATTGCGTGTTAAGTGGAAAGTTTTCTTTCAGTATATTGCAGGAGTCTACATTAGCTCAAGGAGTCCAGAAAGGCAGTGGGGTATGATGATTCTCCTCTGAGGCTATAAGGATTCCATCAAAATTTATTGAAAATCCCCGAGGGAAGAATTTCTCAGTGACATTTTGCCAAGGAAGCAAGGTCAGTGCCAACACCACCTGCAAATGTGTGGCTTCCTTCCCAAATGCAAGGTACAGCAGTCTGGCCTCCTCTTACATTGGAAGTTTACTTTGCCCTGCCTTCTCTTTTTTAAGCGGGAGTCTCTATCTCAGCATGGAATCAAATGTCAAAGGACAAAATGACATTTAGAAGGGTAGAATTTATATCTTTTTGTAACTATATTTATTTCCAGCTTAAACATGTAACTTAAATCACTTCTTAGTCTGTGGATGTTTGGATTGCTAGATTCAAAATCACATACATACACGTATAAAATATTACAACAGACACAGAGAAGTAAAAAGAAAATATTTCTGTTTTAAAAGGAAAATATTCATTCGAATTTAGATACCATGTGATTATAATTCAGTTTCAGCTCAATGATTTGTAACTAAATGAACCCCAGAATACTGACTGTATTTAAGTTTTATCAAGAAATTCGAACAAAATTGATCTTGATGGTATAATAATTTGTCCATTCTAATCTTTTTCTTAAAAGACATAAATGCTGAGGGTCTTTTTCTTATACGAAGCTATAAGGAGATGCACTTTTATTTATTGTAGTTGTTAATGAAAAGGGATAACAAATATAGAGAATGAAAAGAAAAATAGGCTACATTAGGTTTTGTGTGTGATGAGATCTAAGGAATCAAGGGCTGTTCCACAAGAGCAGAGATGGGTAAACTATTGCTCAGCTGTGAGTCAAATCCAGTTCACAATCTGTTTTTTATGGCACAGGAGCTCAGAATGAGGTGTTTTTTGTTTTTCTTCTTCACAATTTAGAGTTATTAAACACATACAAACAAAAAATATGTGACAAGGATGTATGTGACCAGCAAAGTCTAAACTCTTTGCTATCTGGTCCTTTATAAAAAATAAAGCTCTAAAATTGTGAAACTTGAGGCCACTTGTGCTGCGGTGGCTGCATAATGTAATGAATTCCAGAGTTGGTACATCATCAAATAAGTCAAGTTGCTACAGAACAATTACAATAGGTTTGTCTGAGGCTTAAAATGCTTAGGAAGGGGAGAGAATATAATCTATGTTATTTTCTAACTGCTTATGTTTTCTCATTTTACAAAACCGATATATCAGTTGACATACTCAATCATAGAGATACAACTAATACCGCTGCACTTCTTAATCTCAGGATAGAGATAACAATTTTATAAATCTATTCAAGTATGAAAACACTGTTAGTCTATAAACATCAGCATCAGTTAAATTATCTCTTAAATAATTTTCAGTATTCAATTTTTAAGTAACTCAGCCGATGCATATTTTCTTTATTTTGGGTGATTTGAATTATAAAGTTCAAACCATAACTTTAGAATATTTACATCATAAAGTAAAATTTCCAAGTAAAAATTTTCACCTTATACAAGATGGAAATGATTTTGTTACATTATTCTAGGATTTTACAAACTATAATTCACGTTTAGAAAAAAAGTGGGGTTTTTTTAGCTCTAAATAATTAAGGGTTGCCTAAACTAATGTGTTTAAGTAGATTTAACTGTAAATATGTAAGGGAAGTCCAAATTACTGTACATTTTCATAATTCAATGTGAATTTCATACAAAGCAAAATTTCACCATTAAGAAATAAACATTTTGTTCCTATCATTGAGTGGATATTTGTAATTTCTATTTAAGCCAATTCTAGATTTTTTTTTTTATCCTGAGCTTTTGAGACTGGGGCCATTTTATCACAGTATCTCTTCTGCAAGTTGCTTGCCCCAACTTGTCCAGATACAGGTCTTCTGAGAAACAAGAAAGTGTTTTCAGGGAAATCAGTGTCTATCCAGGCCCATCATATATCCAACTAGATTTTCTCTTTTTAAAAGGCAACTTACCATGTAGAAATTTAAATAGTAAAATATCAAATTCCTTGTACATGTAACATCTGCCCTTTTGAAAACAAAAGAAAATGTTCTAGTAACATAAAATGAGTATCCCTGAATAGTAATTCATTTTTTTGTTATTAATCATCAGTAGGTAAATAGATATTGACACAGTGTAAACAACTTATGTTGCTATTTATTAAAAATGTTCAATTGTACATTTTTTATAATTTCTTCTTTCATCTTAAGAGAATGTCCTTTTGTGAACTGAATGTGAAAATCGACAGGTTACTTCCTAGCTACTCAGCCTTTTTCTTTCAAAAGCACTTGTGATCCAGTCTCTGGCCCTAGACCTCACACTTTGTGTGTTGGTCTTCATTGTCCCCCTGTGGGATTTCTCAGTGATAAGGAACCTGAGTGGTATGATCAGTGGATTTGCGTGAGGCTAGATTCTAATGGGGTCTTTACACTCTAATATGTCTTTCTTATATAGGGACATGCATTTCTAACAACCGTGTAACTCAGCATTTCTCGGCCCTGGCACGACTGACATTTGGAATCATATCATTCCCTGTCCTGCGGGCTGCCCCCTGCACTGTAAGATGTTAAGCAGCATCCCTGGCCTCTGCCCACTAAAGGCCTGTAGCACCCACTCCCACTCCATCCAGCATGACAATCAAAATTGTCTGCAGACATTGTGATACGTTCCTGGGTGGCAGCATTGCCCTCATCGAGAATCACTGGTGTAAATTATGGAAGAAAAATTCTTTCTGGTGTTATTGACATCAGAATTTGCTTAACTCATTTTAATGGGTACCCATATTTCATCCAGGCATTCAGAAATAGAAAAACATACAATAGTCTGTTTGATCTGTCCACGTAGGGATTATACATGGCTTCCTTAGCATTTATATGTTCTATTGGCCTGGAACAGTAAGAATCCGGCCTCCTCTTGGAACTGTTAAGGATATTCTGTGCCGAGCCAGATCTCACATGCATTCCCGTTCCAGCCATCCCAGCATTCACAGTTTCCACAGCTACAGATTCCATTCCCTGAAACGAGAGACACGGGCCCACGTCATGATCGAGTGCGTCACGCTAAAATGCCCTCTGGTGAACCGTGACTGCCCTCCATCAAAACCATTTCATTCATTCTGCAGAATTTCTTATTGTTCACTAATCTTATTACATCTTATTAAATAGCTGTGAGAATCTGATCTTTCTAAAAACTAATGGCATCTGTTTGATGCCCCTGTCAATGGAGCAGAGACCAAATACTGACCATCTAGTAGAACTCCAGCTGACCATCTCTAACATGCTTGGTTTCCTGTTGTATACAACTTACGAATAAGCAAGTTGTGTACGACTTATGAATAAAAAATAAAAAAATAAAATAAAAGCTTCTGGAATAGTCTGAAGTAGGCCAAGTAATCACCTAAAAGAGGAGCCTTGTGCAGTGGCGATGGACAGAAAGTTGAGTCCAGTTCAGCAACTCACACAAATAGCCCTCTTTTGCTTCCAGCTACAAACAAGGAGAACAAATGCATATGTCTCTATTTCCCCTGTAACTTATTTAAAAGTAAATGTATTTTATAGCCAATTATTAGGCATCAACAACTTAGGATAGCACTGTCTGTTAAGCTACTAAATATTTATCATCCCTCCACACCCCAAACACACTCATATCCGTTCCCTGGAAACGTCCTTCCACCACGCTCCAAGTAACACAGTTGTCAAGAGGATTACCTTCTCTACAGAACCATGTGTGTAAGCTAGGGGATGGGAGGTTGCTTGGTGGAAAGTTGCCAGCAATCATTTAATTTGGCTTCTATACATGGGAAGAACCTTAGTGCTCATCTCCAAATGCTCACAGCCCCTTCCATAGTTACAGCATTGTCACACCTGGTCCTGGACCCCATGGAATCCCCCACCACCACCGGCCCCCCATGCACCGTGGTGTGTGCTGTGACATAGAGCAATGCCAGCGGGAAGTGCCGCACCTGTGCAGATGAGACCATCATGTTTGTCGCAGTCCCTGTCATCACAGTCGCAGAATTCTCCTGAAATATACCATTCTTCCGCAGAGCAAATGCACTTTCCACAGTGACAAGAACCTGAAAGCACAAAGGGCATCACTGGCTGTGACTGCACAAGGAAAGGCGGCGTCTAGAATGCATTTCCCTCAATGCACTGACAATAGGCTTCTAATAACCTACCTTCCAAAGGGAAAGTTATTGAATAGCCAAGTGCTCAGAGGGGAGCTTTACTTACTGTAATTCACAAAGGTTACCCAGGAAAAGCTTCATTATGGATCTAGACAGTTGCAATTAGCCTTGAGCAAATGTTCCGCGGCCCCGCCTGGTGGAAATGTCACTGAGCGCCCAGTGGGGCTGATGCCTGTGGACGGTCCTCCCAAAAGGTGTTTGGAAATAGACAGTTTCCTGCTTTTGCACTGAATCACGTTTTAGAAGTGTCTGCTCTTTAAGGGAATTGAATCGTAAATTCTGAATAAGGATGCATTTTTAAACTAAAATAATGACTCAATTATAGTGCTTGGAATTTTAGCTCTTTGTTTACATGAATTTCTTAAAGTAAGGACACACCTGCTGATCGGCTGGCTCACTGGGCCAGACGCTCACACAATGGCTCCTGCATCTCTTTGCTTTGCCAGCTCTCACGCTCAGGATCTCCTGCTATGATCAATGACAGATCTAGTGACCCCCAAATGCTGACCTTTTAGGAGACCCGAGGCCTAACCACTTTTTTTATTACTTTCCTTATTTCTCCCCTTTTTACTTCCTACCTAATTAAAATTCTCCTCTTTGGTTATTTAAAATACTGTGGCTTACTGACAAGCAATTTTATTAATGGTGCATTTAAAAGAAAAAATATATATAAATTAAGTGGTGTCACAAAAAGAAAATTCTCTTGATTTAAATGTCCTTAGCTGATAGGCTAAAAAAAATCCTCTAAAGGCAAAATTACTTCCACAACAGCAACAAATTAAAACAGAACAAAACACAAAGGATTCTCCTTCCTTCTACTGTCCTGAGTTAGCTATTCTTTCTAAATATGATTGATTCCCTTTTACTAAAAGAAGACTCACCAAACTTTTCGGGTCAGAATCTTATAAAAGAACATGAAGTAGGAAGTTATTTTGACATATTTAGCCAAATCTCAGACTTGGTAAGTTCAAAATGTACTAGGCGGGGCAGCGATCAATAGCGCCTCTGTGAAAGGAGGTTGAAAAGCGAGTTCATAATGTAGCTGATAAAAGCGGACAGAGAAAGGAATTGGCACTTCTCGTGGGTATCGTGAAAAGCCTGACATAAGCACGTCCTGAGCAGCAGGCACTGCGTGGTTCCACACCATGGAATCTGGTACCTGCATTTTAGCCTCAAGAATCCCCAGCGACCCCTTAAAACTGTGGCCAAGCCTGTGTCTGCTCAAGGCAAGGGAGCAGTCAGAACGAGGTATATGCTGGAACCCCAGCTTATGCTTACGAACTTCTTGCTTAACCACAGATTGATTTCATTCAGTCTCGACTTGTTTTCCTGAGCATCTTGGTTGATTTTGCGGCTCTAGCAAAATCTAGATAGGCTGCAGTCTCGATGAGTGAATTGAGATTAGCCTGGTGGTTGCGTAGAAGCAGGAGTTGGCTCCCAGCTCAGTCGGTGAGTGACGGTGTCTTCCTCTTGGTTTCAACTGCAGTGCGTCCTTATTTTAGAAATGTATTTATCTTAACTTAGACACTTTCAAATTTCTAGATAGGAAAATGTTCAACTGCTGCTACTTTTGCAAATGGTTAGTAATATATCTGCAGCCAAAGAAAACCTGAGACACTGAATTGAATTTTGCTTGAAATGGCCCCAGAAGGCAAGCAACTTAGAGTGTTTTATCTGAGGAGAGGGAGATTATTTGAAGAATTTATTTTAGTTATTTCTAAATGGCGTCTCCCTTCCAATACAAATTATTTCTACCGAGAAGCAAAAGTAAATGAACTTTATAGGTCCATGATAGTCACATACCACACCTAGGAGATCATCTTTTTATTTTCAAAATTCATGAAAAGTGCTCCCATTTCACCTGTGAATGTCTCCCCTGGCCCTGTTCTAATCACCACTCCTGCTTCTGACACGCTTAGCTTCAGGCCGCAACAAAGTACTTTCTGAAGCCGGTAAGCTCAGCTGCAGCACTAGGGTGTAGGCTGACAGACCGTTTGACAAGTAAACGCCGGTTCCAAAAGCCTGCTGGTCACTGAAATAGTTAGGATGAAAAATGGGGATTGATTTTTGGATGGGCTGTGAAAAACCAGCTTCCCTCCGTCAGCATTTCCCCAGCTGCGTCACTCTTCTCCCTTGTCAACCTCCAGTGCATCTTAGAGGTAGGAAATGCTACGGCTTCTGAAACTAGAAGCAGCAGAGCCTGTAATAACGACAGTGTGACAGTTACTGAGGCCCTCCTTGGAGAGTGCACTGGCCAGCGCCACCGATAGCCGGAGGTCAAAACTGCCTGTCTCTGCAAAGGGAACAACTTAGGGAGACACAGGGTCCAAGGGGACAGACAGATCAGCCTCACGATTGCCGAGAACCCACCACACTGGCCAGAACCCCCACACCTACGAGGCCCAGTCCAGCCATGGCAGCTGCTGGGCCATGGAGGCAGGAGCTCACTGGAGGCTGCTAGGTCCAGCCACACCCACCCCTTCCTTTGTTTTCTTGCTCAGTCCGCGCACCCTTCAGAAAGCTCTGACCTCCCCTCTGAGCTTTTCCTTTAGCTTCCACTCCTGGGGAATCCGCCACATTTTCTTATTTTTCTTCAGAGCATCCTTAAGACTTTAAAGGGGAAAGAAATGAATTTCTTTCTGTCTTCAGAGGTAAAAAACAGAAGCACAGAGAGGAATAGGCAATTGCCGACTGGCCTGGAGGGCCACAAGGTGGACCTAAATAACCGTGAACCTACAATTTCAATCTGGTTCAATCCGTTCTTCGCTGCCTGTCTGCCATGCCTCCCACAGCAGAAACCGGCAGAGCAGTCTCGGAAGAGGAGTTGAGGGTCCTGCACCAGCGCTAGATAGCCGTGTTGGGCAGGCAACTAGGAATTAGGTTGTTTTTTTGAGCTAACTTGTACCCTTTGTCTTTTCCGATGACGGGGGTTGCAGCCAGGGGTGCAGAGGCAGGGTGGAGGGGAGGGCTAGCTGGAGGGAGGATGAGCTTGGACTTTTCTAGATGGGATTCAGCAAGAATCACTGGGGCATCTCAAGACCTGCAATCGCAGCCACTGTCTACAACAGCATCCCTGTGGGCATCAGCCCAATGACCCGGATCAGGGTCAGCCTTACCGAGGGATAAAGGTGATTGTGAATCCTTGGAGCCAAATACACAAACCCCAAAATAACAAATGCACAGCCTATGAATTCTATCCTATTTGCAAAGGCAGCCAAGCTTAGGGGACACCTGGCTCTAAGCTCATCTGTGATGATTCTCGAAAACAACCAGTCTTAGGGCGAGGTCCCGTGGGTGAGCTGCCCATTGGACAAGCTGGACTTTCTTTCTCGTTCATCACGCCTGACAAAATGCTGCAACCGACATCCAGCAGGCAGTTTCGCTATTGTACTAACTACTCCATCTGTTATGAAGGTCACAGCACTGTATCTTGTTTTAAATTTTTCTATGGAGTGATTTATTGTCTTGGCTATAAATTTGTAAAGAAATAAAACGCTATTTCTTCACCGTCTCCTGAGGTGCCAGCTTTATTCACAGCTCACGGAAGCGTGTTTCACACTTAAGGTCTTTTGCTAGAAACACTTTGCTGGGCTCAGCTGCTAAGGGGTAACTCTCTCAGACACCCCACTTAGACAGGTCCCATCATCCAGCAAGAAAAAGATTTTAGGATGATAATCAGGATGAGAGGCTTGGGCTGACAAATCTGAGAAATATTGCTTGGAATCCTGGTAAATCACGAGCTCTCTACGAAATACCTGGTCCCACTCATTTACTGTGGGACACATTTCTCTTTTTCCCTACTTGCTGAAGACCTGTAGGCTATTTCACGAGTGACTTGTCCTGTGGCTCTCGGGATGAGGCGGCACTATCATGGGGGTGGGCCAGCAGCGACCGCCATGTGCCCAACATTCTCTGTGCCCATCACAGAGCACAGAGCTCTGACCTCTTCCTTCCTCTCATCAGCAGTGATGTCTCCAGAGGAAGGAAACAAAGGTGTCCCCAGGCAGCTGCTGCCAACGGTAGGCACCCTCACCCCTGCCACTAACACTGACCTCACACATACCGCACACACCGTGGAGCACTGCTCAGCGGCACGCAGAACGATGGCTCCTGCCATTTGCCCCAACACGGTGGGCACGAGGGGGCTGACACTGAGCGAGGTAAGTCTGGAGACACACACATATGGGGTGACTGCACTTATATTTGGGATATAGAGAAACAAAACTAAGGGTCAGAGAAAACGCTGGAATCTGACTGGAATTGAGGCTACCAGAGGCGGAGAGGAGGGGCCGATGGACACGGCGCGGGGCTGCGGGTGCTCTGGCGGTCAATGCGCAGCAGCATCTGTGGAGGGGTGGGCCTCAATCATATACGGTGTTACCTCGAAACACAATGCAATTTTTTAAAAATACGAAGCATTCTTGGTACTCAGAAGCAGGACATTCGCTTCTGACAACTTTCGTCCCCTGCTTCTACCCCACAGGCTAATCTACCTCTACTTTGAATTTATTTTTTTCCCATTAACGTTTCCTCCTTTTCTATTTTCTTCATCTTTTCTTCTCCAAGTCCTACCCTTTTGTCTCTTCCTTATACACCCTCCTTCCTCCTTTCTGGCTCTCCCCACAGTGCTTGACCCCAAAGCAGGCATTTCCAGCAGACAAGGCCCACTGAGACCCGAACTGATAAAAAACCTGACTGGGGCTTGGCATGGAGTGAGCTGAACAGAGGACAAGCTGGGAGCAACGTCATTGCTTTCAGCTCCCCGACTGCGGGCGGGGCTCCTGGGCACCCCAAGGCTGCGCTGTCTGAAATGAGCGCGTCTGCACAGTCTCCAGCCGCCCTCCTGGCGTCATCTGTGACCGCTGGGTTGCAGCTTTGCTGTTAAGCCAAGACGCCCTTCCAACGTGGAAGTGCTGGCTGCAGTGACAGGGCAACAAGAGCCTCCCACACCATTCACCTGCGTCTCTGTGTCTTCTGAACAAAGATGCTTTCCTGCTAGGCCGCCCCAGGGAGGGCTTGAGGCTAAATGCAGCTGGAAAGGGGGTTTGCCCATTCTGTGGGAGGTCAGGGGGCTGAAGAGGAGTCAGGAGGCGCCCTGCCTTCTAGTTCACACAGGGCAGCTCCCCAACATTTAGTGAGAAGCTGTGCTCTCGCCAAGCCTCCGCAGGTGTCTCCCTAAGCACCAGCAACGAGGAACACGGCAGCCTCCCAGGGGCCCTTTGGCCTAAGAGCAGCATTTTAAAGCCCCTGAAGAACTTATGCAGAAACATCAAAATCAAGGTACCCGGAGTTTTACCTACTTATTCTCTTTCCCTACTGCAGGCGGAGCTTCGGGTGGGGGTGGGACAAGGCCCGGCCTGTTTTTCTTCTGGAATTTGTTTCTGTGGTAAATGACTGGCTTGGTGGCTTCCTGTCAGTCAACTTGCAGCGCATAACCACCATGCAGCTTACATTAAAAAGATATTTTATATTAGCTCACACACGTTTGCTCAGAAACGGACGATGGTCAAGCCAAATAAAAATTTCAGCAGCCTTTTAGGGCCCAGATACTTTTCTTTCCTTTATTAACGAAAGGAAACGCTTAATCTCTGCTTGGGCCTTTCTGGCCCCCCAGCCCTGCCCCCTCCACAGTCTCCTCTGGAGTGCACCTTCTGAAAAACCCAAAATCATACTGTCGGCAGTTTAGACACTTGGGGCCACCTGACCTCTCTCTGCAGCTCTGGGCTATGCTGTTCCCCTAAATCCAACACAGCTGTAACCCAGGGCTGCCTCAATTTAAAGAAAAAAATCATTTAAAAATAAATGGATTGGGAAAATAAAATAACTCAAAGAACCATTTGAAAAAAACAACAAAGCCTGCGCCTTCCGCCTGGGTTGGTCGCTGTGCAGTGGCTTGGAGGCGTGCGATGCACTTTTCCTCTTGCCAAGGCTGCTTGATTCAGCCATGGGGTGCTGCCGCTGGCCGAGGGTCGTTCCGGGACACCCAGCTCCCGCAAGTCACTGCCCCAGCTCCTCACCTTCAGGGGGTCACCTTCCAGAGGAAAGTGGGGCGAGGGCAGGGGCCAGTAACATTCCTTTGCACAAAGCGAGGCCTGGAGAGGCCGGGCTGGTGCGCACTGCGGGGCTGACCCGGGGGGGCCGGCTCCTGCCTACTCACCCTTCCCCGAGCACAGCCTCCCGTCTGCCGCCTCGCACAGGCTCTGGCTCTGGTCCTCCGTCAGGTTGCACTTCCGTGGATGTTGGCAGAGTTTCCCGAACCATCCTCGCTCACACACGCAGCGGCCGCAGGAACACGCGCCGTGGCCTGCCAAGGCAGCACAGGGCGGGAGGACAAGGGTCACTCAGCGAGGAAGCAGGGATTTTTAAGCAAGAAAGAGGTAAACCCTAGGCTCTCCCTGCCCATTCAACTAGCACGCTGCCTTTAGGCAGCGTTAATTTGGCCTGCCGTTATGTAAAAGAACTTCTCACAGAGGCCTCGCTGGAGGGAGTGCAAGGGATGCAGCCTAGGAAGAGACTCGGGAGAGAAAGATGCCTGGGAAATATTTTAAATGGAGCTTTACCATTCTACCTTGCTAGAGAAAACTTCTGCATTTGCATCTGGATGGGTGTGGGGTGGGGCGTTTCTCCCCACTGAGCAGATGCCAGGAGACCCACTGGCGTTGCGGGTGACACAGCCACTGATGGGAGCGGCAGCTGATGGCTGTGCTGCCGCTACTGTAAGGCTCACCTCTGTGGGCATGACCTGTGTTGCTTTATCTGAGGGCCCCTCTACTTACTAACAGGAACATGGACACGTCAGTGGCCGTCTGTGCCGCCATGGAGGGTACAAACAGCATAGGTTTGGATTCACATTTTTTTCCCCTTTCATTTCTGTCCCTGGTTCCTGGTTTTGAGATGTTTGTCTTATGGTCCGCGTGCAGTCTTTGTGACAGACACCTATCAGCAGCTTGAACCTACAGCCTGTTAGATTGTATCCACTTCCACTGTGTGTCTTGCTTTATCTGCTTCCGACCTGAGCATTGATGCACAGGGAGATTTGACCACTTGGCTCTTTGTTTGGCCAAGATTTACTGAATCTCTGTTATGAACAGAGCATCTTGCTAAGCACTAGAGGAGACAAAAACAGGCGTGAAGGACACAGCCCAGCCCTGCACCCAGCAACACCTAAAATCATCACTCAGATTGACCCGCCCTGCAACACCATTCTGTCTTGGCCATTTGCTCTGGTGGTACCCTCAAAGCAAGAGGGGACCCCATCCTTTCTGTGGCTATTTCTTTGCAATTCATTGTCATGATTAATTTAATTGAACCACCCATGCCCCAGGTCATGTTCTTCCATAACGTTCGATTACCTGGAATTAATAGAAAGCAAAAGGGAGGCAAAATCGGCAGATCTGGATTAACAGACTTGGTGGCAACAGCCGTTTAGTCAAAGGCCGACCCATAAAAGAGAGCGTTATTTTATGGGAAGAAAAGAGAAAGATAAGTGGTTAAAATAAAGAGTTAGAAATCTTTCTGGTGTTAGAAATCTTAAACTCTTCTTAGTTCTACACAATTGGTCACCGATTCTATTTTCTGGCAAAAAGCACATACTTGTCAATCTTCCTGGCCTCGATGGCTGCTCAAGCCAGTGTCTGCTTGATGGCTTCTCGAAACAATTGCTTTTGGCTCATACCAAACGTCTTTGGCCCAGTTCAAATGAGGCAAGTAATTTCTTTTCTCTGTAATGGCTGCCTAACTCGACTTAAAAAAATGGGCCCTCTGCCAACTTCTCATACTTTCAGTGGCACAACTACACCGCCAGTCAACCACTCCAAAATGTTTCAACTCACACTTGAGTCTCCCTTGCACTCCTCACACGAAGACTTGCCAAGTCCTATTGAGACTGCTCTGGAGTCTTCATTCACATCCCCACCAATAATCTTTGGCAATTTTCCCCATCACTTCTGTTCCTAATATTCTTCTCACACCTTTGCACAGCACAGCTGCACTCACATCTAGCTCTGTCGGCTCCCTGCTGTGCACGGGATGAAGTCGCCTACATTAGCAGCCTGCCCTCACCATTTTGGTTCCTGACTAGATACCAGAGTACTGTTCCAGCCTTCCTCCCTCTCTTGTCCCCTTTCATATGTTCCTCCATCCAATCAAACTGACCCCATCATTGTTCCTCTACATTCCCACCTATGCTGACTTCCTGCCTTTGCTGAGACAGAAATTCCACCCCTTACCCCACACAGCCGGGTCCTGCTCAGTCTTCAAGGCTCGGAAAACATGACTACACCTCTGTGACCACGTCCTTAACTGTCGCTCAAGGACATGGGTAGCTCGTGGACGGCTCTCTCCTTCCTGTGCTGTGTAGAGCAGAGTGAAGTGAGAGAGTCATCGCTCCCTCAAAGCTATCTGCTCAATGAGTGATTATCAAGTGGATTGTATCTTGAGTTCTCCAATTTGAAAAAATCCCACGTAATATGAGAAATACTAAAGAAATCAAAAAAGGTGTCCATCTTTGGAGGCAGGTAATCTAGGGAACTAAACAAGAATGAGAAAGAATTTGTATCAGTCCTATCAAGCTATGAACTTTTAAAATGTTCTTGTTTCTTACTGACCCTGGGTTAGTAGTAATTACCATCATTCTGACATACTGGAATAATTTCATCTCAGCTGCAGAGAAAGGCATCCTGCCTTTGACTTAGGATATCATTGAGACTAACTAAGTCAATCCTCACAGCAAGTAACTTAACAAAAAATTTATATGCAAGGATGTAGGAGATTGTTTTTCATTTATTAGCTCATTTATCACATCCTTCCACAAAGTTCAGTTGGCTTCTAGCCCAGACTGTGGTCAAGGTGCATTAGTATTTAAATGATTTGCTGTCATTTGCATTAGTTTCCTTAATTTTTCAAAAAGGCTTCAAGAATATTTTCTGTATAGACTCTAATCATTTATTCATCCGTTCAAGAATCACTCACTGTGCAGGAGGCTGTACCATCCCTCCCCTCATGGTGTTTACACTCTACTAGGGGAAAAGGAAACAAGTAACAACAAGCAAACAAATACACTTGGGCTATGAAAGAAGGAAAGGAGTGTTAGTATTTTTAGCAGGGAGAACCCTGTAACAGGAACAGTCAAGAAAGGTCGCTGTGACACCCAAGAGACAAGGAGTCAAGAGAACCAACATTCTAGGAAAGATACTTGGAATAAGAAAGAGCTTGTCATACCACAGGGAGTGGAAAAGGGCCAAGATATTTGAAGAATAATGAGTAAGAAAAATGAAATAAGTAATAAAATGGGAGAAACATTCAGGAATGAGAACATAGCAAATTTTATTCATGGCGAGGAGTTTAAATTTTATTCTAAGAACAGGAAATTATAGAGAGGTGTTAAGCAAGAGAATGATGTGATGTCATTTGCAATTTGTAAATTCATTTTGGCAATTGGTTGGAGAAATTAAGGTGTGTTGGGAGGAAGACAGTGTGGGGAGAGCAGGAGAGTATTTGCAGGAGCCAGGCGATGGAGTAACGTCGGCGGCGCTAGGGCAAGCGGAGGTAGGACTTGCTATTGGGTTGGATGTAGTGGGGAAAGTGTTTTCTAGCTAGAGAAAAAGTGTGAATAATGACAGTATTAATTGGATATGGAAGCTGCAGGTGGGAGAGATTGGGGGCAGATCATCAGCTCAGCTTTGAACCTTGGGTTTAATTAAGATAACAAGTGATGAGGACGAGGAAGGAGTGCAAAGACTGGTTAAGTCTAGGCAGATACCTGCAAGAGTTTCCAAAAGTATACACTGTATAAAGCTGGGGAACTGACTAAGTCTGCCTAGGGGTCCATCTTGGGAAATGCCAGCATTTTGGGTTAGAGTAAAGGAGAATTCCAGCAAGTAAGGAGCACCCAGTAAAGAGAAAGGAAAACAAGATGATTGTGTTGTCTTGTCTTATAAGAAGTCAAGAGGGAATATTCCATGAAGGAGGCCTACTCAGTGGATTGTTCCTGAAGACTGGAGTTCAGAGAGATATATAGAGAGAGACACCATGAAAGTAGCTTCCGTTTTCACCAGACCAACTCCACCGAGGTGCCACTAGGGCCTGGGTGTGGACATCCACGCATGGCAAAATTGTTGAATGAGTGGACATTCCAATCACTGAGAGCAAAACCTCTGCTTGGTGGTAGAATTCATACCATAATTATCTTCATATAATAAGTGACCAACTGATTATTCTAGAATGAACCAGTAGGGAGAACCAACCTAATGGAGTATTCCAAGTACATGATCTCTGCCTTCACCTGACTTCTCGAGTCTCCACGCAGCTGAGTGATTTTTTTCCATCCATTTCTACTTTCGGAGGCACACACCCTGTCTCATACTTACCTCCGTGGATCTGGTGCCCCCACGCTGATTGCTCTTCCTACTCTAGTCCTACCCCCAAAACATTCACCAACATTGCTCCAGACTTGTGTTGTCCAATACAGTAGACAGTAGGCATATGCAGTCACTTAAAATTATTGTAATTAAGTAAAATTTCAGTGTGTCCGTTGCACCAGTCCCATTTCAAGTGCTCCGTCACCATGTATGTGCTGAACAGTGCAGACAAAGCACAGTCCTGCACCCTTGAAAGATCTATTGGAGAGTGTCCCTCCAACAATGACCTTCACCAATGAACCCCTGGGTTCTGAGACCCATTTCCTTCAAGGACAGCAATGATAGTTCTCAACTGGGGACAAATGGATTCTCAGCCATGAATGCATAGTAATTATATCAGATATTATGCAAGTCACCCCTCGGTAAGATTAGGTGAATTATTTTCTGGGAGAATGTAATATGTCCATCTGGAAAAGATTTACCCAGGCTCCTCAACCATCAGCAATTCCACTCCTAGGTATTTACCCAAAGGACACAGAAATTGAGATATAAGAGAAAATCTCCTGGATGAGTTTTCCAAGAAAGCTATTGTCTTCTAAAGGAAATGGAAGAGGCTGAGTCAGCTGTGTCCTCTGCCCTATTCTCCCCCAGCTTCTTTCCTGGAAGATGGCCACCACAGGGCTTTCTACCAGCGGGACGTCACATTCGGGCCGGAAGGGCAGGTGGAAGTGGAGCTACGCAGGCTGTGGTTCTCAGCTAGTCCCTCGCCAGCCCCTGCAGTGCCAGCAGCAGCCTCATGATTCCTGCCGTCTGCTTTGAGCAAGCACAGTCCTAACTGTGAGGACTCAGGAACTCGGGGGAAAGATTTGAGATCTGAAGATGCAATTTGGAGACGCGCCAGCACCTGGCTGCTGTGCACACTGAACAGGCGTGGGCAGCGAGAGGC